TATCGGTAATATGAAAAGAACTTGTGCATATGTGTGCAGGTATGTATCGGTAATATGAAAAGAACTTGTGCATATGTGTGCTGGTATGTAATATGAAAAGAACTTGTGCATATGTGTGCAGGTATGTAATATGAAAAGAACTTGTGCGTATGTGTGCTGGTATGTAATATGAAAAGAACTTGTGCATATGTGTGCAGGTATGTAATATGAAAAGAACTTGTGCATATGTGTGCTGGTATGTAATATGAAAAGAACTTGTGCATATGTGTGCTGGTATGCAATATGAAAAGAACTTTACATGTGCATATGTGTGCAGGTATGTAATCTACATATAAAAAATTGTCTAGAAAAGACAATTGTGACAATAATTTGTTTCATGGAATCCAAAATTACTTATTTTATAATTCTGCTTATAAAATAAAAATACAAATCAATTTCTTCTTTACAGTCAATTGTTGATGGAATAACAGTTATACTCCCATGGGCTGCACAACAGATAGAAGATGCCATCAAGGCTGCAGCTCAGGCAGTCAAGAAGTTATTTAAATCTCCTCGAACTGCAATTACTGATATTGCAAAATCTGTATACAAGTAAGTTTTCACTAAAATTAAACCTGATTGGTGGTTGTGATTGGTGAATATTTATGTCTGAAAATCGATAAATCATTGAATTAAAAAAAAAATGTTAACATTAAACTGACTATTAATTATTAAATTGATTATTCTGTGATTTTTCTGTACAATATTTTGTAAATTCATTCTTTTTTAATTATGAATCAAATGGACATAAATTCTATTGATCATTTTCGAAGTTTTTTAAAAAAAAAATTTTTTTTGCAAACCTAGAATTAAGGCAGCCATTGCTGGAGTGTTTGAAGCCAAGAATAGGATTGAAGAAGCCTGCTTCTTTTTGGACGATCAGCGACCTTACTGGTTTGATCTGGACGATGAGATTAGTGGGATCTGGGAAGATATTCTTAACGCTAAAGATAAATTAGAAGATGCTTTAGACTGGATTACTGAAGGTGTCTCTGCAGAAGACAACAAATTTGAACACTTCACAGGAGTGTCTTTGGTGAGAATTACTTATGAATGGTTAAACAGCTCTGGGGATATCAAATGCATCATGGGAGATTTATTCAATATATTCATACCTTCTTTAAAAGAAGTAAATTTGGATTAATTAATCATTTTTGAAAAATATTAATCACAACAACATTTGTAGAAAAGATTGACATAATTAGAAAACTCAATATTATGATAATTTGTATAAACAATAATATTTATGGCTATGTGACATAATACAAGAATTATTATGCGACAATTTAATGCTACAATGATGTGTTTTTGATGCAATACAATGACAATGTGACATTCATGCAAAGTGTGTGTGATTTGAATGTGAACACAATGTGATGCAAATGCTACAATGAAGGGAGAAATGCGAGATGCTATGCAATTTTCCCACCGTACATTTGATTTTTTACCTTGCCCGTACCATCAAAGATGGAAGGGAAAGGTATATTAACGGAAAGATTTTGTCCGGCGTTGTCGTTGTCGTTGTTGTCGTTGTCGTCGTCGTCGTCATTAATAATTGTTATTGTGTGCATAATAACTTTACTAATTCTATTCCAAACTTCATCAAACGTGGTCACCTTATTCATCAGTATAATGTCTTCCCTGAGTTTGAACAACAGATGTTTTGTATGAAAATATCATGCAAAAATTGAGAAAATCTGATAAAATATTTTGACTGTTTCTACTTGACTGATCACTGGTGATACACATCAAAGGTCACTGATCTCAGTGGAAATATGCATTGTTGTATGTGTTCAATGAAGCAAATGATTTATCTTGTAATAATATCCTTGGTAATGTATCCTAGAATCCCATACTGGGT